TCAGCCCAGCTAGCCGCGCCCAACCGGCCAAGGAGCCGCGTCGCTCAGCCCGGCTAGCCGCGCCCAAGCGGCCAAGGAGCCGCTCAGCCCAGCTAGCCGCGCCCAACCGGCCAAAAGCTGCATGTTGCCAGTGGCCTGCGTGCTGGATGCCAGGGGGTCATGGGAAAAAGGCCTTTGCACACCACCATGCAGAGTCTGACCAGCTTCCTATGAAGCCCCAACAGCTGAGTGAGGAAAGCGAACACTCACCACCATCTGCTGCTGATGTTCTCCTGGGATTTGCAGTGTGAGGCGGAGGAACTAGGCGCCCCTGGCGGACTGATCTCCTCTAGGTGAGGCATGGGGGGATGGGAGGGAGAGAATCCACTTGGGGGTGAGGAGGGGGCTCGGACTCCTGAGCCCTGCATGCTGCTTGCATCGGTCTCAGGCCCAGAGCTGAGGCTGCCTGGTCGGGCAGGAGTTGCTGCGCACCGCCCGGCATCGCTTCCCTCCTTGGCTTCCTGTTTTCGCTTGCGATACTCCAGCAGGGAAACCTGAGAGAGAAAAGCCCTCCTGAGCCTGGGTGCAACAGACACATCGCTCAGCGGCCAGGCCCCTGGGGGAAGGGCGCTCTCCCTTCGTGTGCTGCCTAGGAACACGCCTGAAACGCAAGGATACGTCCCTGAGCTGCCATCTGCATCTCTCATTCCTGTCATGCAGGGGTCTCAAGCATGTGACCAACACAAGGGAAGCCACCCCCAGGACACAGGTAGGGATTTTACAGCTGGGACAGAGAGGAAAGGATTCAGCTGTACAAATCACGCACCAAGGCAATTTCAAACCCCCACGTGAGAGACTGCATACCCGCGAGAGCATATTTAGCATATGACTGGCAAATAAGGAATTATCAAAAATAAGGTCATGAATTTTAAGCTTATAACCAGAACCCCATGAAGTGATTGCAAATTTACCATAGAATCCACCCCAGCCGCGTAATTCGGCTGTAGAATTTAAATGCTCATTTAGAACAATGTCCATTTGTAGCTCTGCATACAAAGAAAATAAAGTTTGCATCCTTTTTATACTGGAATCACATCTTCCTGAATTTAGAAAGAACAACTAGCTCGGAGGTGTGCCTGCCATAGTTTTCCATACTTAGCTATTTAACTGATGATCATTTCAGAAGAAACACAGCGTTAAGAGTGAGTTTATCCCCACATCTCTGCACCTCCCTAATCGCAAACTCTTTCCACGGCCTCTGTTCCGTTGCCAAATCCTCCTGACAACACGCACACTAGAGGTCCCCCCGGCACCCTCCTCAGCGCTCTGAACGCCGGAAACAAAGCCACTCTCTACTTTTAGTCTCGGGAGGTTTCTGCACCACGTCCATCACCATGGCTGTCCGAGCACCTTCTAGCTCTGTATTAAACAATGTGACTAACATCTGCCATATGCTGTTCTCTCCTCCTGTCCCTTGGGGAGAATAGCCTGCCTGGGGGTTCTCGTTTGGGGCATTTTAATACACCTGCATCACTGCAAACCAGTTCTCACTCCTGCTCACACTGGCCCTGCTCCACCGGTGTTAGCAGTGTTGCAAGGTCTGAGGCCGCCATGGCCTGCGCTGCATTTCACACACTGTCATTTCACCCTGCTCAGGTCACATCTATTTGACTCAGCAGCAGCTGCAAGTGGCCATTTCAAGGCTTCCAATCCTGCTAACACCAGAAGCACTGAACTGCGGTTTGCAAAAGTGGGGACACTCACGCTGTTGGGTGAAAGACAGAGCAAAAGATTCTGTAAGGTGCAGTCAACCGTGTTCTCCTCCCCTCACATACAGAAAAATGTACATACTTGATTGAGGTGGAAAGAGATGTAGGAGTCAGACATATTGTGTCTCTGGGTTAGGTTAAAAGGGGTAAAAAACAGGGTGATGTCATGCTAGGGGTCTACTACAGATCCCCTACCCAGGAAGAAGAGGTGGACGAGGCTTTTTTAAAACAACAGTCATCCAAAGCGTAGAACTTGGGGGCGAGGGAGCACTTGAACCAACTAAACATCTGTTGGGAAACGAGCATGGCAGGAGGAAGATCAAGGACAGAGTAGGCCCATGGCTTAATGAAGACGGAGGAACAACAACAGGAAACGTGGAAATGCCAGAGGTGCTTCATGACTTCTTTGTTTTTGTGTGTGTCAAGAAGTCTGATGATGAAGGAATGCCTAACATAGTGAATGCTAGTGGGAAGGGGGTAAGTTTTGAAGATAAAATAAAAAAAGACCAAGTTAAAAATCACTTAGAATAGTTAGATGTCTTCATGTTAAATGTACCCTAGAATCCACAAGGAGCTGACAGAGGAGGTATCTGAGCCTTTCGCTATCATCTTTGAAAAAACATGGAAGTCGTGAGAGATTCCGGGAGACTGGAAAAGGACAAATCTAGTGCCCATCTATAAAAAAGGAAATAAGAACAACCCAGGAAACTCCAGACAAGTCAATTTAACTCTGGGCCAGGGAAGATGATGGAGCAAGTAATTAAGGAATTCATCTGCAAACACCTGGAAGATAACGCGGGGAAGGTAACAGCCAGCATGGATTTGTAAAGAGCCAATCAGGTCAAACCAATCGGATAGCTTCCTTTGATAGGATAAGAAGTCTTGTGGCTAAAGGAGTGTCACGTTATTGGATCTGAAGGGAGCAGACAGATCACTGCTGTGCCCACAGGGCTGGGTTGCCCCAGACTGGATACAAAGGGGCCATGTGAGGTCAAAGGAAGGTGTGCACCTGTGAATCTACGTATGACACTCCTGTGCGTGGAGTTATGAACATGGGCTCTGTGCTGGTACTGTGACTGGTCTCCGCCCGGGAGGGAGCCATGGGCCTGGTCTGCCTGTCATGAGGAAAGGCTGGGCTAACTAGTCCTGCTCCATGGACAATGGCTCTGCATGGCCAACACACCCCTGGAGAACCCATCTGGAAGCCCGCAGACCCACCAGTGCCTCATGGCTACTGGCCTGGGAAACACAGACAGATCCCTTGATCATGTGACCAGCTTCAGTTTGGGAGACACCAGGAATATAAAAATCCCATGAGGCTGTCTCCATCTTGCTCTGGCTTCCAGATGCAGGGACAGGGAGCTGGGAAGGATCGCTGACCCACTCTGCCATAGAATGGACACCAGAGACGTCTAAGCTGGCAGTTTGTAACAGCTCTGCTGAGAGCCTGCATCCAGAACTGGGGGACTGGTGCATGTGATGCATTTTCATTAACAACCTCACTCTCAGCCTTTTCTTATTTCTGTTAATAAACCTTTAGAGTGTCGATGCTAAAGGACCGGCCCAGCGGCTCTTGTGGGGAAGATCCAGAGTATAAACTGACCAGGAACTGGGGCTGGGTCTTTGGGACAGGGAGGACCTGTTCGGGGTGAGTGAGATCAGGTTCTATACCCCCTCACCTGTGTGCAGGCCCGGGGCTGATTGTGGCACAGGGAGAGCTGAGGTGTCTGAGGGGTTTTGCTCATGAGGCTTCCTGCTGTTCACATTGGCAGCTGGAGCGCTCGGTGTGACTGGTGTGTGGCCTGTCTGGGAAAGGTCTCCAGTCGAGGGCTGTAAGCATCCCCAGTTTTGAGCAATTCGCCCTGAGCTGACGCCCTCAGCAGTGCCCACACCCGGCCCAGTTCATCACAGGAGAAGCAGTGGACGTGGTATAGCTAGATTTTAGTAAGGCATTTGACATGGTCTCACATGACCTTATCAATAAATTAGGGAAATACAACCTAGCTGGGGCTACTATAAGGTGGGTGCATAACTGGCTGGATAACCGTACTCAGAGAGTCGTTATTAACGGTTCACAGTCATGTAGGTGGGCATAACAAGTGGGGTTCCGCAGGGTTCCGATTTGGGACTGGTTCTGTTCAATATCTTATTTCTCCTCTTTCCTGCTCCATCCCCTCTTTCTCTGTTATTTACGTGTCTCTCTGGGCCCCTTACTCCATTCATCTGAAGAAGTGGGTTGTGTCCTCCAAAGCTCATGACACCATCTACATTTTTTGTTAGTCTCTAAGGTGCTGCAGAACCATTCATTGTTTTTAAAGTTTTTTTCAAAATGGGAAATGACTGTCTAGGAAGGAATACTGCAGAAAGGGATCTAGGGATCACAGGGGACTGTATGAGTCAGTGTGACAGTGTTGCCAAAAAAAAAAAAATCAAGTATCATTCAGGGTTGTACTAACAGGAGTGTTGAGAGCAGGACAGGAGAGGTCATTCTGTAATTCTGCCGCTCTACTCTGCACTGGTTAGGCCTCAGTTGGAGTAGTGTCCAGTTCTGGGCCCCACATTTCAGGAAATATGTGGACAAACTGGAGAGGGTCCAGAAAAGAGGAACAAAAATGATGAAAGGTCTGGAAAACACGACCTGTGAGGGGAGACTGAAAGAACTGGGCCTGGTTAGTGTGAAAAGAGACATGCTAGCGGTTTTCAAGTATCTAAAGGGAGGGGGGTTACAAGGAGAGAGAAAAACTGTTTTCCTTGGCCTCTGAGGACAGGCCAGGAAGCAAGGGGCTTAAGTTGCAGCAATGGAGGGTCAGATTGGACACCAGGAGAAACTTCCCGCTTGTCAGGGTGGTTAAATACTGGGATAAATTGCCTGGGGCGAGTGTGGAATCTCCATCCCTGGAGAGTTTTCAGAGCAGGCTGGACAGACACCTGCTGGAGATGGCCTAGGTGCAGCTCAGTCCTGCCACGCGTGCAAGGGGCTGGGCTTGGGGACATGGCGAGTCCTTTCCAGATCTGGAGTGCATTAAATAGATGTTAAAAATGTCTAATTTAATAGCATCAGGAGAGTTTGCATCTAAGAGTTTTGTTTAGATCGACTTATTCTGGCATCTTCGCTGCAGTGAGCTCATGGCTGACACTCCCCCGTCAACTCCACCGACACTTCTCTTTCAAGAGGACAAGGGGGAGTTGACGGGAGAGCACTTGGTGGTCGATTTCTCCTATCTATACGATGTGACAAGTCAACCCCCCCTTGCTTCTTGATCCAGCGGGTAGTGTAGACATGCCCTTAGGGTAATCTGGCTCACTTGGTAAACTGGGCACAAGGATCAAAGGGGAAGCTGAGTTAGTCTGCCACTGGAAAAACTTAAAACACAACAAACAGTCCTGCAGCACCTTACAGACTAACCAAATATGGAGATGGGACCATGAGCTCTCATGGGCACAGCCCACTGCTTCCAATGGAAATTCCATCGACTACTCGTTTAGCTGATTAAACACAATTCATCCCAAATATAGGAAAGCTGTGATTCAGCGGAGACTTGGGGGTTGCGATGAAGCTCACGTTCACCTGATTATTCCAGTATAATAATGGGTCAAGAGCGAATGAGACGGGATACATCAAGAGGGCAGTTTTGAGTTGGAGCGAAGAGGTTATTTTACCACTGTTACTTGGCAATGGCGTGATCGCTGCTGGAATGTGATATGCAGTTCTGGTGACCAGGATAAATTGGAAAGGGTTTACCATGAGAATGAGTCAAGGCTTAGAAAACACTCCCGATAATCAT